TAAATTAATACCTAACATGTCACGCATTAAAATTGCTTGTGGAATGCCGACAAACTACAATACCTAAAATTCTCCATAGGTGACTCCTTTACAGGTTAACAGTTTAGAGTTATACAGGAGGTCTGGGGGTAGAATTATTGTTCTCGCTATAACATTTGCAGGGATACCTCACGTTTGGTGAAAACACCATTCGCATATGCGTGTGCAACCTACATATGTGTTCGCCTTTGTGCTGGGGGCAGAGGCACTTTACTTTTTCTTTCTTTCTTTTTTTTATATATTTATACACTGTCCCTTTTATTTTTTTTATCAACTTTATTGCTATCACAAGGGGGTGAACAACATCCCTTGTGGTAGGCAGTGACAGGTACTCTTTACTGGGGATCACAGGCCAGTAACAAATTGTTTAATTAGACCAAAACTGTAAGTGACGGATGATCGGAGATGGGAAGGCGGCAGGAAGGGGGACCCCCCCCCCGTGCTTGTAAAAGTGATCCAGTTACTTAGCCTCTCAGATCACTTTTACTTTATTCAGCACTGCTAGCTGAAAAGATTGCAGCCATGGCTTCAGTATGATCACTCAAACTCCCAAACTCAAGGATGTACAGGGACGTCTTTGGGCAGCAAATGGCTAAAAACATAAGTGACACCATACAGCAATTTGTAGCCCAGCCTGGATGTAGAATTGCCTTGCTGAGCATGTGTGGAGAGATCTATTGGGAGTAGTAGAGCTCAGGAGGCTACATGCCCTCCCTCATAACTTGTGGGGCGTCGCTTTGCTTGTGTCAAGCACACTACTCCACTCTGATACATTGTGTGCGGCCTGGTGAGAGGCCAATCAGTGTGTGGCTTCCTCCACACATTCCCTTTACCCTCAAAAGACAAGCTTCAGCAGCCAGCAAGTGAGCCTGTCGCTGAAGGGGCAGGAGTTAGGAGGATATGCAGCATCCTGTGTAAGCTGTGGGGAAGGAGCTCTGGTGAAAAACTACGTTATGCTATTACTACTCTCTGTGGAACTGATCCAAGCTGGACCTGCATCCTCCTTTCACATGGAAGGGAATGCCCCTCTTGCCCTACCTCCCTACCCCAACAGCCCTGCATGCTGGTTGTCATTTAGAATATCTTTATCGCAGTCACATTTCTGAATAGATGCCTTTACTATTCCCTCAATTATCTTACATACTATTGATGTTAGGCTGACTGGTCTGTAGTAGTAATGAGCCTGCATCCACCTGCGTCCTTAACAACCATCCACAGCTGAAGCTCTTATGTGTAATAGTGGCAGTATTACCACTATTACACATGGCATTCTGCTTCGCTGAACAGGTACATATTGGGGCAGTTGTCCGAAAGCAAGAACAGCCAAAGTTAGGTCTGAATTTGTGTTTGGACTAAACTTTCCATAGTCCGTAGTTTCCAGGTATAAATCTCAATACTTTTTTGTAAATTGGTACATTTTCTCCAATCGGTGCAATTCCAGTCACTACGGTGTCTTCAGAAATTACAAACAGCGGCTTGTCTATAACTGAGCTAAGTTTCTTAGGGAATTGCGGGTGTAAGCTATCTGCACCTGGTGGTTTGCTGACAGCCACAGGCAGGGGTGGACTGACAACTCAAGGGGCCCCCGGGCAATAGGGGATCATGGGGCCTCTGTGTCCTTGCCCAAACTCAAAAAAGCCTATGAAAAAGGTACCAGGGGCATCTCATGGGGCCCCCTACTGACCCCAGGCCCTCAAGCAGTGCCCGAGTTTCCAAATGTTCAGTCCGCCCCTAGTCACAGGTACCTGTGGTGAAACATTGTTACAACTATCAGACCCGCCTTTTCAATATATCTGCCTTTTCCCTGTAGGTTTCTTCACAGTGAGAGCTATGAAAATGTGGAATAGACTCCCTCAAGAGTTGGTTCTGGCCAGCTCAGTGGATTGCTTCAAAAAAGGCCTGGATTGCTTCTTAGATACACAGAATATAACTGGATACTAACATTTATAGGTAAAGTTGATCCAGGGAATATCCGATTGCCTCTTGGGGGATCAGGAAGGAATTTTTTTTCCCAGCAGGAGCAAATTGGATTGTGCTATGCTGGGGTTTTTTTGCCTTCTTCTGGATCAACTGTGGGTATAGGATTATAACTTTTTTTTTCTTTCTTTATGGTTGAACTGGATGGACTTTTGTCTTTTTTCAGCCAGACTAACTATGTAACTATATTTATAGCCAAAGTCTCTTGTTCATCTGTTATGGAGTCTGTCATAATATTTTTTACTATTGATGTGTTTGAAAACATTTTTTGGATTTGTTTTACTTGGTGTAGCAATGTGTTTCTTGTATTCTATTTTATCTGCCCTGATTGCTCTCTTGCATTTCTCTGTATTTCTTGTAAATATGGAACATTGAGGGCTTTCCTTCTACTCTGTACATTCAATGGACTGTTTTTTCTAATATTTTTTTACACTAGGTTTTAGCCACATAAGTTTTAATTGTGTTATTTTATGTTTGTTACCCAGTGGAATACAGTGCATAATGCACTTGTTTAGCTCCTCTTTAAAACACTGCCACTTGCCTTGTGCTCTTTGTTGCAAATATTTGGTTCTATTGAGTTCTATGTAGTAAGGATTACAACTTCTAGAAGTTAAAGCGGAGTTCCAGTTGAATTAAAAAAAATACTGACTTTTAAAATACAGACACTCACCTGTCCCTCAGTCCAGCGGTGTCCTCACCCTGGCTGGTTTCACCGATCGTCTTCTCTCCCCTGTGCCGGCATCTTCAGTGTGGGCACTCATCTGTGACAGCTTGGTACCCATTGTGCATGTGTGAGTAGCGCTGCACTTTGTGAATAGTCCCATAGTCTTCTGGGCCCTGTCATGTGTCCCAGAAGATTACTGGGGGGGGTAACCTACGCTTCCGATTGCCTTAGGCGAGCGCACTGGAAGTGGGAGCGGATACCTGTCAAATTCGGGTACCCACTCCCCAAAGGTGCCAATCCTTAATGGGGAGTAGGGGACAAAGCCTTAAAGCGTAACTTTCCCCTTTTTAAAACTGGATGGGCTAATAATATTGAGGATAGCCAGTTTGGCCAACTAACTAATGAATGGAACGGTAAAGTTGAAGATTAGCTTTAACCACATGCCGCCCAGCCACTGTAGAAATACGGCGGCAGGGCGGCACGGCTGGGCAAAACCACGTTTTAAAACGTGTGTTTTTAAAAACAGGTAGGGGGCGCGCGCGAGGCGCGTCGCCACCCTACCTGTCCCGCCGATCACGGCCGCGGATGTCAGTCGCCGGGTCACAGCCAGTCGTTACCGGCTATGTCCCGGCGATTAGCGGCAATCAGTGACAGAGAGCACAGCTGCAGTAGCTGTGTTTTCTGTCAGTTCCCTGACAGCTCCTGACACGCTGATCGGGACAGAAGAGTTTATCTGTCCCGATCAGCGGTGTTCTCTGCAGTACACACCCCCGCCCCCTAGTAAAACACTCCCCTCACACAGTTTACCCTTTCACTGCATAATAAAGTTAACCCCTTCCTCCCCAGTGCCATTAGTACAGTGTCAGTGTTTTTTTTTGCACTGATCACTGTATTGGTGTCACTGGGGATGTCAGTGACCCCAAGCCAATTCCTCCCCAGTGTCAGAATGTCCGCCGCAGTCCCGCCATAAGTCACTGATCGCCGCCATAAGTCACTGTTCGCTGCCATAAGTCGCTGATCGCCGCCATTATTAGTATAAAAAAAAAAAAAAAATCCCAGTATCTTTCCCGCCATTTGTAAACGCTATAACTTTCACGTAAACCAATTAATTTACACGTATTGGGTTTTTTGTAGCAAAGACATGTCGCAGAATGCATTTTGGCAGAAATTTATGACTAAATTTGATTTTTAAATTTTTTTTTACTGGACATGTTTTATAGCAAAAAGTTCAAAATATGTTTTTTTTTTCTCAAAATTGTCAGCCTTTTTTTTTATAGCGCAAAAAATAAAAACCGCACAGGCGATCAAATGCCACCAAAAGAAAGCTCAATTTGTGGGAAAAAAAAGGATGGAAATTTCATTTCTGTACCGTATTGCATGACCGCGCAATTGTCCGTTAAACTAGCGCAGCGCTGTATAGCAAAAAAAATAAATTGCAGTATCTATACCATAGTTTGTAGACGCTATAACTTTCACACAAAGCAATCAATATACACTTATTGGGATTTTTTTTACCAAAAACATGTAGCAGAATACATTTTGGCCTAAATTTATAACTAACTTTGAGTTTACTATATATTTTTTATAGCTGAAAGTAAAAAATATCGTTTTTCTTCAAAATTTTTGTGTTTTTTTTTTGTTTATAGCGTGAAAAATAAAAAGTACACAGGTGAGCAAATACCACCGAAAGAAAGCTGTATTTGTGTGAAAAAAATTACGTACATTTCATTTGGAAGCAGCATTGCATGACCGCGCAATTATCAGTTGAATTAGTGCAGCGCCGAGTAGCAAAAAGATGCCTGGTCATTAAGGGGGGTAAATCCTCTGGAGGGCAAGTGGTTAAATACCAGCTGCAGGTGATGTATTTAAATGTAAATACATACTTTTTTTTAATCTCTCACACAATTTTAATCAGCTCTAACACTTACAAACTGACAATGCACAGACACCAGCTATGTCATTTTGTTAAACTATGCACTTAAACATTAATGTTTAAAAGTTTTAAATCTGTAGCTTTTATTAAAAGAATTCCTGCTGAATGATATGCATGTACAAAGGAAGCAACAGAAAGACACTGAAGGAGATTGACAGTGCTGAGATTTAAAAGTAATGAAAATGGTGAAAGCAGTATTTTATGAAAAAAAAGTATGTTTTATAATACAAAATGTATTAGAAAACTGAATCTAATTTATTTAGGGTTTAGAACTATTTTAGAACTACTGTATTACAAACATTTGAAGGTTGCTGGTAGATTGTAAATACATATTTTATTATTGACTTATTTCTCTTGTTATCACAGGTTTAAACGACATAAGCAGCCATGCCTCTCCCTGAAGTTATGTTTTGTCCTCAGCAAATTGATATTCCACCAGAACTTCCAGACATCTTAAAGCAATTCACAAAGGCTGCCATTAGGACACAACCTCATGATGTCCTCCAGTGGTCTGCTGCGTAAGTAATGAACTGTTGAATATCTGTCTAGTTCATAGTGTTTGTTAATATTTAAAGTTTTTTTATTTTGTATTGTTTTTTCAGACAGTTTTTTTTTTGGTAAATTATATGTTCCTTATTTAAAGGCTAAGTGTATCTTAACAAAAAAAGATTAATCAATGCACCTCTCCACTGCCCATTAAATAATAATTGTTATATAATGGTATACATTATTCAGACCATATTAAATTTTACTGTTTGGCACTGTTGGAATTCTTACCCCCTAAGTTCTCACAGGATACTGAAGACCAGCATTGCTACAATAGTCAGTCATGGGGCTTTCATGTTGGAGTAGTGTACGAAGAGCTGACAGTCTGGGTAGGGAGAGTATTGGTGTGCTTGTAGGCAGGTGCAGTCTGTTTCCTCCACTGTAGGTGGTGCACAATCCAAGTGGTACTACATCCTTGAGAGGAAGCCCAAGGGAAACAACTTTTCTTTATGCTTTCCTGGATCAATAGAGCAGCGTTCCAGTTGGCTACACTGCATCCATGTGACCCTCAGCGGCCATCTTGGGTCAGCATGGTTTTGGCACACTTCTCGTGTGTGGCTACTTTAGAGACAGAGAGAGAGAGAGAGAGACTCCACTTTTAAGGTAAAGTAACTAGTGGTAGGGAAAGGTTCCTGACGAGGGAGAAATATAAGGGACTTGCTATCCTGAAAATGAGCTTCCCTCTTGGGACTAGCCTGGCCAGGCTGCACTTCACCCTCTGAAACAGACGCATTCGGCACCTCTCGTCCACCATATCTGACTACATTAAACTGTGCTTTCCCGCAAGAGTGTTTGTAACGTTGACATTCTGTTTAATACAAGTTACAAGTTTTACTGCTACCGGTCTCTGTGCATTTAATGCCCACTCCATGCTGCACCTCTCCACATGCTATATGGTGCTATACTGTGCTATATTACACTAATATACACCATGTTCCAAATGATTATGCAAATTCTATTTAAGTGTCACAAAGATTAAATATTTTGTTTTTCAGTGTTACTCATGGATGGCATTGTGTGTCAGGGCTCTTTTGATCACTGAAAACAATCTCGGACACCTGTGATAATTAGATTGGCCTGTGAGCCCAATTTAAGGAAAAACTACTAAAGGACGGTGTTCCACATTATTAAGCAGAGCACCATTTTCAAGCAATATGGGGAAGAAAAAGGATCTCTCTGCTGCCGAAAAGAGTGAAATAGTTCAATGCCTTGGACGTGGTATGAAAACATTAGATATACGAAAACTTAAGCGTGATCATCGGACTATTAAGAGATTTGTGGCTGATTCAGAGCACAGACGGGTTCATGCAGATAAATCCACATTGAGGAAGATTTCTGCCAGATCCATGCATCGGATCAAGAGAGCAGCAGCTAAAATACCATTACATAGCAGCAAACAGATATTTGAAGCTGCTGGTGCCTCTGGAGTCCCACGGACATCAAGTTGTAGAGTCCACCAGAGTCTTGCAACTGTGCATAAACCTTCTATTCGGCCACCACTAACCAATACTCACAAGCAGAAATGGCTTCATTGGGCAGAAAAAATACATGAAGACTAATTTTCAAACAGTCCTGTTCACTGATGAGTGCCGTCCAACCCTGGATGGTCCAGATGGATAGAGTAGTGAATGGTTGGTGGACGTACACCCTGTTCCAACAAGGCTGCGACATCAGCAAGGCTGTGGTGGAGTCATGTTTTGGGCCGGAATCATGGGAACAGAGCTGGTCGGCCCCTTTAGGGTTCCCGAAGGTGTAAAGATGACCTCTGCAAAGTATGTGGAGTTTATAACTGACCACTTTTTTCCCTGGTACAGAAGGAAGAACTATGCTTTCCATAATAAAATCATCTTCATGCATGACAATGCACCATCTCATGCTGCAAAGAATACCTCTGCATCAATGGCTGCTATGGGGATAAAAGGAGAGAAAATCATGGTATGGCCTCCATCCTCCCCTGACCTCAATTCTATTGAGAACCTTGGGAGCATCCTCAAGCAAAAGATCTATGAGGGTGGGAGGCAGTTTACATCCAAACAGCAGCTCTGGGAGGCTATTCTGACTTCTTGCAAACAAATTTCAAGCAGAAACTGTCCAAAAACTCACAAGTTCAATGGATGCAAGACTTGTGAAGCTGCTATCAAATAAGGGGTCCTATGTTAAAATATAACGTGACCTGTTAAAATGTTTAAAAAGTAAAAATTTTGTTAAGTTTGATTGAAATAGCTTTTGATTTCAGTAAATATGCTGCAAACAAAACAAATGACAATTTTCAGTTCTTTACAACCTATAAAGTGTTTTGAAACTTACTGTGCAGAATAATTTGGAACAGTGCATTGTAAGTTTTTTATGTTTAAAAAAAATACTGTTATCATTAGGAGGTTTGTTCAATAAAATGTGAATTGTACTCTTAATAGTTGATAACATAAGAATTATGCTGACTGTTATTTACATCAATTATTTAGGTAAATGAGAAAAATATCATTTGCATTATAATTTGGAACACGGTGTACTGTGGATTGCAGTGTGGTGGGTCATATATATTCCTGCGTACTCCCACATGGCCTTGATTTGAGGTCAGAAGAAAGGAGGTTTAACCTTAGATTGGGGAAGGTGTTCTTTACTGTTAGAGAAGTAAAAATGTGGAACTCCCTCCGCTAGCTGAGAGTTTCAGAAAACGTTTAGATGGCTCCCTCAGGATGCTGAATATGCAGGCTAAAAGAATTGATAGGGAATACAAATCATAAACACACATAAATTGAACTGTGTCATTTATGGACCTATGTCTTTTTTTCAACCTTATAAACTATTTAAGTAGCTGGCCTTCTTTCTGATACTAAGGAAGACAGGGAACAACAAGAGGCAGTTATACTGTCTTTTCTTTACTGCAGCTCCAGCAATAAAAAGGGGTGGCTGATGAAGTGTGTGGCATTGGGGAGATTATACTCATGTGATAGGTGCTGTTCAAATCATTGCGCCAGACCAAACTGTATTTTAGGGCATGGCAGCCCACTTTTTCTCAAGAAACGGAATGTTCGCTCACGCATCAGTTGCCCATGCAGGGGTTCTTCCACATAAATATGAACATTCCAATGAAAATACTGAGCCACCTGGCCCCCTTGTTGACAGCACCACTATTCCTCTTATTAGTCCCTCTGACTGTGTTGTCCAGCTCCTCTTGAATCACTTGGCTCTCTTAGCTTTTGGTCACAGTGCCATGCTGCATGGCCCACTGCTGGCCTATGGATTGGGGTCTCTCCGCAATATGAGCTGACCTGACTCCTGGAACGAGACCTCATGGCTACTGACTGGGTCACCTCTGACCCCTGGGTGAGACTTCCTGTCTCTTGGCTCCTGCTTGGGGCACCTATGACCCCTGTGTGAGACCTCCTGTCTCTCTTGGCTTCTGACTGAGGCACCTCTGACCCCTGGGTGAGACCTCTTGTCTCCTGGCTTCTGGCTGGTGCACCTCTGACCCCTAGATGAGACCTCCTGTCTCTTGAGTTCTGGCTGGAAAAACCTCTGACCCCAGGGTGAGACCCCTGTCTCCCATACTGGGAGTGGTCTCCCAACTGGATGCTGACCTCTGAGCTTTCTCAGGCTTGAGTATATAATGACCCTGAACACCTGTGTACTCAGACTGGTTGCAGACATCTAGTAAAACCCAATCACAGGTTGGAAAGTTCCATCCCTTCCAGCACACTTTGGAATCTTCAAGCTCCAGACCGCAATCCAAGACTACAGAATCCAGAAAAAGCCAAAAACATAGCTTTCTCCGCTCAGAAATAATAGTCTGAAACTTCGCATTAACCCTTAATGTGAATCCTGTGTCACATTTTCGTATATACTCACAGTGACAGGGCCTCTCATTGTCACAGGTGTCAGACCTTTCAATAGGTACCACAGATTGGAAAGGAGGAAAGTTCAGAGTGAGTGAACAGCAAGGCAGCAATTTTGTCCAGGAGCAGGGGCACCTTACATCTAACTAGAGGGAGCATCCATCAAAATCCTTATGGCTGCATTGCCCACACAGTTACAGGCCACTGCTATTCCCAGGAATAGTCCACAGAACTCTACAGTTTGGGCCTTTTTTAATGTGTCTGCTGTCAAAAGCACCTGTGTGGTCTGCAGCCTCTGCCTGCAGCATATAAGTAACAGCCACTTGGGTACTATGTGCACGGAAAGGCAACACAGAAGTCAGTGGGAGCAGCACCTAATGGAGACAAGTTCACTGCAAGAGGCTCAAACTCCTCCTCGTTCCTCAGTTAGTGCATCGCTCCACCTCCACAACATTATCTTGTTGCATCTACTGCAACATCTGTGGCATCCAGTGACAGTAGGGGCAGTCAAACATGGGGGATAAGGCATAACATACTCAACGTTAAATAGTGAAGAAGGTCGTGGGGCCAGGCTGAGGAAGGTAAAGTAAAACCTGAACCCTCAGCAGCATTCGCCAACACCCACTCTTCCATTTCCAGCAGCATCCTCCCCACAGCAGGTTCTAGAGCTCAAGAGAAAACTGTTACCAATGTCCAGCTTGGCAAAGCTGCTGGCATTTTAACTACATCCATGGCCTGTTCTACTCCACAGTAGCAGGTACATAGCTGGCATTATTTTTCCAGAAGACCATCCCTCCCCTTCAATAACATGCAGAGCAAAATGTGTCTGTTTTACCAAACCACGCTGTCAGGGTGAAGTTGGAAGTATGTCAGTACATATGGTTATGTAAGCTTGGGAAAAGGTGCTGTGTCTCTTTCACCATGCACAAGGTTAACCTTCTGGTGGCTGGAAAGGATGCAGGATGGAGCACATCGCTGGAGCTAGTGGTGCCACTGCATGTGTTAGCAAATGCCAGCAGCATTGTCACCAGTACCCCCTTTTCCTCACTGGCCTCATCCACTGACTACTACAACTACACTGATCAACAGGCCCCCCAAGCACCCCAGAGCATATGCAATGTCCCAAGCTAAATGCTGGCATGCTGTGTTGCAGCTTGAATGCTTGGGTGACTGAAGCCACTCTGGGCCACAGCTTCTTGCAGCTTTCTAGGCTGATAGGTAGCTGACCCCAGACTATCTTTAGCCAGAGAGGATTGTGTGCGACTAACCTGCTAGCTGCTCTTCACCTGGGTAAATTTGCTATGTTCCTTGCCTGGCACATGTCCTAAACCTATTGGTACAGTGTTTCTACACAAAATACCCTGGTTTTCAAGAGGTCCTTCCATCGGGCCAAGAGGGTTTGCAGATACTTTAAAGTAGTTCTATGGTCACAGCATACATTTTCATTTTACATAATCAGCATTGTAATAGTGAGCAGTACTAAGTTGCAGGGCAGTCAGTGAGCAGTATGTAGTGACAGGCTAGATCAGTATGCAGTGGCTGAGCAGTAAGTAGTTTAAAAGTAGGCAGTGTGCAATATGCAATGCCAGGCAAGGGCAGTATTTAGTGGCAGGACGGTCAGGGAGCAGTATGTAGAGGCAGGGATGTCAGTGAGCAGTATCTAGTGACAGGTTAGGGCCGTATGTAGTGGCATGGAAGTCGGTGAACAGTATGTAGTGGTAGGGCAGAGAACAGTGTGTAGTGGCAGGGCAGTCAGTCATCAATATGTAGTGGTAGAGCAGAAAGCATTTGTAGAAATAGGACAGTCAATGAACAGTATGTAGAGGTGGGACATCCTGTAGAGGCAGGACAGTCAGTGAGCAGTATATTGTGACAGGGCAGTCGGTGATCAATAAGTAGTGGTAGGGCAGAGAACTATATGTAGCAGTATAGCAGTTAGTAAGCTGTATGTAATGGAAGGGCAGGAAGTATGTAATGGTAGGGCAGTCAGTGAATAGTATGTAATGGTAGGGCAGTCAGTGAACAGTATACAGTGGTAGAGCAGAGAGCAGCATGTAGTGGTAGGTCAGTTAACAGTATGTAGTGGTGTCGCAGTCAGTGAGCAGGATTTAGTGTTAGGACAGTCAAAGAGCAGTATGTAGTGGTAGGGAAGTTAGTGTTAAGTATGCAAAAGTTGTGTGCTTAAGGTATGTTGGAGCATAAAAATGCGCCAGCTCTGCCTACACATACGCAGTGGACTGCAACACATGTTCACACATGCACAATGGATTGTAACACCATGCCCATGCTCCACAGTCACTGTTCCCATCCAGCATGGTCCCCCAGCATCATCCTATCCCCTTGTGATGGATGCGCTACCCGAAGCTCAATAGACAGGGATTCCCTGATAAGGCTGATTTAGACACCCAGATACAGGGACCCCAACAAATGGGAGCCACCTCTGGGGTCTGCTGTGGATTTATCACAGCTACTAGGTAGAATAATTCTTATCACGATTCATCTTGGAGTAAGGAGGACAGATAATAAACACTGCAGGTAACTCAAAATGGAACTTATTAATGATCTGTCTAATAGACTGCTCGAGGGGATGGCATGTGCTTACTCATATGCTGGCATGGAGTCCTCAGGAAAGGTTTTTTACATATTTTTATTTATTAAAAATTATTGCAGTTTTATCTGACAATTACAGGATTAAAGAGAGGTACTGCCATCTTTAGGCTGCAATGTCATCTGCAGGAAAAGAATGTTTTTGCACAAACCTCCAGCTACAGTACCTGGATCACCATGATTGGCCGTCATGGTGATCACATTATTGGTTACCGTACTGAATGGTTCCTGATCATTAGTTCTGCTCAGAGCTGTCAAAGATAGCACAGTTGTGAGAGCTAACAGCACTATTTGTGTGCGCTCCTAACTGTCAATTAACTGCTTCAATGTCGGGCACTTTTACCCCCTTCCTGCCCAGGCAAATGTTTAGCTTTCAGCGCTGTTGCACTTTGAATGACAATTGCGCGGTCATGCAACACTGTATGCATATGAAAATTTGTATCATTTCTTTCACACAAATAGAGCTTTCTTTTAGTGGCATGTGATCACCACTGGGTTATTTATTTTTTGCTAAATAAACAAAAAAAGAGACCAAAACAAGTTTTTCTTTGTTTCTGTTATAACATTTTGCAAATAAATTACTGTTCCTAACTTTTGGCCAAAATGTATTCTGCTACATTTATTTGGTGAAAATAACCCAAATCAGTGTATATTATTTAGTCTGTAGGAAAGTTATAGAGTCCACAAACTATAGTATATCTCTGAAAATCGATCAGTCCTGAGGACTTCATGAGGACTAAAAATGTTAGGACAGTACAGATACCCCCTAAATTACGTCTTTTTGGAAAGTAGACAGTCCAAGGTATTTAGTAAGAGGCATGGTGAGTTTTAAAACAAAAAAATCAATTCATTCAGTTTGTTTTGTTCTGATTAGCTGTGATTGGCCACAGCTAATCACATGGTACAGATGGGCTATGATTGGCCCTGTCCGTAGCATGTGATCACTGCGACCAATCACAGCTAACAACACAATTGTAACAATTAATGGCATGATCTGAAGCCATTCATTGTTTACAATTGCCATGTGATCTGCTGTGATTCGTGACAGTGATCCCATGCTATCAGCAGCGGGCTGGTACACTGATCAGTCATTGGCTGTGTCTGGTGGATGCATCTGGGGACCGATCACGCCGCAGCACGGCCGCACGCGAGGGTTGTTCTAGGAGGATGTCATAGGACGTCCACCCAGCACGACAAAAATCCTGGCGGGCAGTCTTTAAGAAATATAGATTAACATTCCTTCTGTCTGGGGACCCTTGCTTGGGTACCTTTCTCTACAGATTGTGAATGTCTATCAGTTAGAAAAGTAAGACAATTTAAATGAAGGCATGACATTGCTAGGTTTCAAAGACACATCCATCACCACTAAATAAAACATTTTCTGACATTTTGAAGGTATTTTGATAGCTTATCAAGGGGTGAGTCTCTGCCAGTGAAGGAACGAGTTGAAATGCCAGTAGCAAATACAAAGACTACAACAGGATTAACTCCAGGACTTCTGAAAGTGTTGCATAAACAAGTAAGTAAATGTTTTTTTATGATCAAATGTAAAGAGGATTACTATGAACAAAAATACAAAGTTTATAAGACTGAAAAAAAGACACAGGTCCATCCAGTTCAACATGTGTGTGTATGTGTGTATGTGTGTGCCCGAGCACCCACGTGTGTGTGTGTGTGTGTGTGTGCGATTTTTATTCTGTAACAATTCCCATAACCCTGTATATTTTGCTTCCCGAGGAAGACATCTGACAGTTTTTTTAAGTTTATACTCTCAGCAAGTACTATTTCCTGGGGGAAGGAGTTCCACATTTGTTTACTGCTCTAACAGTAAAAAATCCTTTTCCACAATCTGAGGTTACACCTGCTTTCTGCTAACGTCAAATCATGGCCATGTGTAATAAAACCACCTGTCTCGATATGTCAAATTTCATGTGTGGTGTTACTCTATAATCCTAATATTTAGGCGTGTTTATAACTGAAAGAAATAGTAGTTGGTTATAATGTTGGAGGTTTACACAGTGAAAACCTAATTTAAATACAGACCAGCTGCAGAATGCCTGAGACAGTCATTCTCTGCTTATCTTTATGGTTATAAAAAGTGAATAAGGATCATTATATCAGACTTTATTTCACTGATATCTCAGCCTAGTTCAGACCTTAACCTTGTGTTTCCTTAGCGCCTTGCAGCCTTGAAATCTGCTGGGTCACCTCACAGGTTGTACTAGAAAAAAAACAATATTTCAAGGAGTTTTATAATTAAACCCCTTTGTAACAAGGTGTTATTGATGCCTAAATGCCCATGCCAAATTATAAGCATCAGTATATGTCAGTTAATAACTGTATGACTAATTTGCACATACCTAAATCATTATTGTATTTTTTTAGGGACACTATAGGGGGGATTTACTAAAACTGGAGCAACAGAATCTGGTGCAGCTGTGCATAGTAACCAATCAGCTTCTGACTTCAGCTTGTTCAATTAAGCTTTGGCAATAAAACCTAGTAGCTCATTGGGTACTATTGCACAGCTGCACCAGTATCAGGGCTGGGCTTCTGCTACTTAACGAGCAACTCTTTTCTTTCAATGCTCAGAAGCTGCTAAGCTGTCGGTTAATTACCAACCACTTGTTGTCTCCACAGTGACTCACCTGAATACCATTACCTGCCTTAGTATTCCAGACTACGACCCGCCCTTTTTGCTATTTTAGCAGCTTATCTCACTTCCTCCTTGCCCTTGCATGGTCTGTGTTCTCCAGTGTGTTCCTGCCTGTGTTCCTGTGTACAACTCGGTCTGACTGATTACTCTTCCAGTTCCTGTTCCTGATTTTTGGCTCCAGACTGGACTGGATGGACTTTTGTCTTTTGTTAGCCAGACTAACTATGTAACTATGACTACGCTGATTTCTGGTTTCCTGACCCTGGTTCGTCTGATTACCCACTCTGGCATCCAAAACCCTGGCTTCTGTTTTGACTACGTTCCTGAACTGTGTTATTTTTGCTATTTCATTAAAAGTGTGATTTTAACTGCACTCTCTGTTTCTGCCTGGTTCATGGTTCCTGACAACCAGATTCTGTGGACTCCAGTTTTAGTAAATTCTCAAAAGTGTATATGTTTATTTGGTACATTATTTTATTTTTAAAAATACCCTGCGTTGTTTTTATTTCAAGCAAAAAAAATACCAAATATGTAGAATTGTTTAAACATTTTTTTTTCTATTTATTAATTCATGTATTATTTTTTTTAAATACTGCAACTGTAAATTTTAAAATACCCTGCGTTGTTTTGATTTCAGGCAAAAAAAATTGACAAATATGTAGAATAAAAAAAAAAATTCTATAGTAATTCATGTATTATTTTTTAATAATGCAACTGTATAACTGCTGACAGTTCTACCATTACCCTTTGGCTGCCACTGATGTAAGCCTTACGTTGGCTGTATTCCCTTCTGCTATGAACTCATGGAACACAAACACACACCATACACATGTGCACTACACACATTGTGGTAATGTACATTTAGTGTGTTGATGCACTTTCCTTTCTCCCATGATTCTCACTCCAAGCCAAGCCTATGTAAGGCGCTCAGTTGAAGTGCAAACCTCAAAGCACAAAGTTTTTTTCAACACTTTCCAAAATGGGAGAATATCTGTTGGCCTTTGCAGACACTTGGTCACAAAGCTTCTCAGATGCTTGGGTAAGAGATATTGTGCCCAGGGGTCACAAGCTAGAGTTCTGCTGTCTGCTTCCTCCTTCATGGTATTCAACTTACCCATTTCTCCATAAAGGCTAGCTGACCACCATTCTGCTCTTGCAGGACTTTTGAACCAAGGAGTTATTGCAATTATGCTAATGCAGGAAAAGCTCCAAGGGTTTTAACAAATCCAAAAGAAAACATTTGATATGAAGACATTAAGGGGTTTATTTACTAAAGCTGGAGAGAGCAAAATCAGGCTCACTTCTACATAGAAACCAATCAGCTTCTGTTTATTTAAGCTTTGGCAATAAAACTTGGATGTTGATTGGTTTCTATGCAGAAGTGAGTCTGATTTTGCACTCTCCAGCTTTAGTAAATAAACCCCTAAATGTCTTCACTTGAGTCCAAAAGTCCCACATGGAATTCACCAAATCTGTCTCCCTCTACCATAGAGACTTTCTGACCTCAGTGGACATCATGGCTGCATACTTTCATTTCCCCATCTTTCTAGTGCAGCAATGTTACCTAGGTTTTGCTGTGGGCACAAGACATTTACCAGGTTTTTTGCCATGCTATTTGGCTTATCATCCACCTCTCTACTAATCTCTAGGGTTTTGGCCCCTGTGCTAGCCTTACTATGCTTCCATTGTATTCCTATTGTGAGATACCTAGACACCCTCCTACCGAGGAAGCAGTCAGCTCAAACTATGGAAGCAAATGTGATGTGGACAAGTTCAGACACTAGAAAGGTTTGGTTGGATTATGATCCTTTAGAAATCAGCTCAGGAACTAACACATTGTTTGGAGTAACTTGGTCTAGTCCTAAATACGGCCCAAGCCAAAGATTTTCTTCCCCAAGAAAAACTTCTGGTTCTTCACTCCCAGACTCAGACTGTCTAAATGCGATTCTGCATGAGAGTTCTGAGCTTGAAGGTTGCCTCCTTCTAGGCAGTCACATTTTCTCACTCTAGACCCCGACAACACAATATCCTGTCATGCTACAAATCAGTTCAACCTATTCATTTACACCAAAGACCAGGATAACTATGGCCTGGTGGCTCTGAAATCCAGCTTTAGTGATGGGAAAATCCTTCCTCCCACTGTTCTGGAAAATCAGCACTCAGATGCTAGCTTGAACGACACAGGAGGAACCCTAGACACCTTGATGGTGCAAGAGACTTTGTGTCCAGTGGAATCTCATTTTACAATCAACATTTTGGTGATATGAGCAATTTGGTTATCCCTATAATGCTGGATACCTTACTTGGATGGTCATCTGCTCAGGATCCCGGCAAACAATGCCATGACGGTGGTGTGCATCAGTCACAAAGGAGGAACCAGAAGTATGACTGTGGCAAGAGAGGTAGAAAGAATTCTAGCCTGAGCAGAACTAAACATTCTAACACTGTCCACCATTTCAGGTCTAGACAATTGGCAGGTAAAATACCTGGACATGTAGGAGTGGCCCCTACACGAAGTGTTTCAGGACCTGTGTCACAGGTGGGGGATGCTGGATTTTGACCTCCCAACCTCCAGATGCAAAAGCAAACTATGCAGAATTGTCTCCAGATGCAGAGAGGCAGTAGCAGTAGATGCTTTGTGACATCACAGGATTAGTACCTCCTGATATATGCCATTTCACCTCATCTACTTCACAGGATTGAGAAAAAGAGGGTATTCCGGTGATCCAAATAGCACAAAAGGCACAGGTAGATGTAGTTGTCATGGTCAAGGTTCAGGCTTGGAGCCTAAGAACTATAGCAGTAGAAAAACTCCCACTGGCCAGCAGGATAAGTATACAATCAAGTCAACCTGGTGGATGATGCAGGGCTCACCTGGAGTGGGGGGTCTAATCACTATACGGTATTCACCAGAGCTCCTAATGGTGGAGATGGGATTCGCTGTGTGTTAGTACCAGACCGTGGTCTGCAGGATCACCCCACCAGAAGGTGAGCAAGCTGGGGTCCTGTAGCAGATATAGCAGGTAGGGATCAAAGGTTGGTAACAAGTTGTTCCAGGTTGGGATCAAGTGGAAGCGCTGTCAAAGAACAAGCCAAAGGTCAGTAACAAGAAGTAGCTAGGATATGGATGGAAGCAAGAGTGACAGGAGCGAGATTTTGGCTGGAGAGCACCCAATAACCTGGCAAACAGGAAGTGCAAAGGCATGTCTTAAAGAGGAAGTTCATGGGAGGAACAAAGAGTTCAAGGTTCACCAGAAACAAGGTTCAAGACAAGATTGTCCAAGGAGCTGTCCATTATCTCAGATAGCTCAGCAGGAAGAAATATTGCCAGACGTAGCAGAGGTTGTAGGTTTAGATCTGGATCCTGACAGTGGTACTCCGACCTGATCAGACTTTTGGCAGACACTTTGTGAGCTTTTACAGATCAACCACATCTCTCTCAAGGTCCACTTTACCACCCTGCTTCACAGTTGCTAGCTTTAAAGGTCTCTCTGATGCCGTATTTCCCACACCTTTAAAAGCTAGGAAATCTATATCTCATAAAGTCTACTATCACACATGGAAAGCTTACTTTTCTTTAGTGTAAGAAATAAATGTTTAACCCCAGAAAATGCTCTGTGGGAAGGATCCTGACCTTCTGCAATCTATTTTAGATCAAGATTTGGCCTTGTATACAATCAAGGGACAAATCATGTCCTTCGTAATTATATTTTTATTTTAAAGACCACTAGCCTACCTTTCTTTGGTTGAGATTTTGTGTAGGGCATCTCATGTGGTGCCACCTCTACAACCTTCTGTGGCTATGTGGCATATAATATTGGTTCTATCAGCTCTTTAAAGACCAACTTTTGAACCATTAGAAA